TTGTTCGGAATGCTTACGAAGAGGGGGCAAAGGAGGTTAGTCTCCGCTGTTCTGTTGACTTATCATATCAGGGGCATCATATCAGAAGGGCGTAAGATCCACTATAGTCGGTTTTAGATTTTTAGGGCGTATGACCTCATTTAATCAATTCGCTTAATAGCTTAATATATCAGAAGGGCGTATATATTCATAAACATCAACACTCTATTCTAACGCATTTTACTTAGGCATATGAACCAATTTTACAAAACTATAATATCAGAAAGGCGTATGCCTGGCAAATTTCAGATTTGGTTCATACGCCCTTCTGATATGACGCCCTCGATATCTCAGCCTTAAAAATCGGCTACTGCCAATTGATTTGATATCTGGTAAATACATGATAGGCCGTTTTCACACTGGCCGACACGATACCGACACGACAACGACAACGATACCGGTGGATGCGTATTCTCATATAATAAATGGTTATGTTTTCACACTCGCCGGTACATCGGTATCGTGTCGTGACAGGCTACTCCACTGGCGTTCTTGCTGATTTTGTGTCGGTATTGGTGCTGTGCTGATGTCGTGCTGGTGTCGGTATATGTGAAAACGCCCATAGGATGGTAAATACGTTAAAAGTAAACTAAGTACTTTTGTGTGGTGCAAGTGTATAAAGTTATATATTTCAGTGTTTAGTGACAGTACAGTGCATTTTTGTGTTTTAATTTTCAATTTATACAAATCAAGAAAGGGGTGATAAGATTAGCGCCTACTTTTTGTCCCGAGAAAACAATTCTGCTGCAAGAAGACGGTATCACATGGATTATCTCGACTGTCAAGTACCGAATAAGAAAATGTTTATAAGACTGGTTCAATATCTAAGAGATTCATATCCTGTAAAGATCAGGTGAGTAAACAGATTATTTACTTATTTTTGTGTATTTCATTTATCATTATTGATTACTGCTTGAGTTTCTGTTAGTTAAGTATTGTTTTATAATTTATCTTGTTCAAAAGAATTAAATTTTCGCTTATGTGGGATGATAGGGTTCCTGGTGAACACTCCCGCTTAGCAAAAGTGACATGCCAAAAACCAGTACATTACGGCAGGTGGTGTGGAAATTTGCTTTTTAATAATCTTTTCTTTAAATTATGAAATTTGGTAACAATTCATAGCCCCAGTTCCCAATAATGCATGCATTATTGGGCTGAGATTAACGTGTGCCAATGTTTGATGTCACACTAGCTTCAGCGGTGGGGAATGAAAAATTACTAAAAAAGGATTTAAAAAAGTTTTCACAACAGAATATAAAAAAATTAAATTGATATGTGTTTCTAAAGGTAGCCTCCATATAAATATAACTCCCATACAAAGTTACACTATACAGGGCGTAACTTTGAATGGGAGTCATATTTATTATTAAGGAAATAAGTACTTAATCGCTAAGTGGAATGACTCCATATTTACCAAGGTACTTACTTCCTGTTGTACCACATGATAACTTTGTGTTCACTGCTGTGTCTTTAGTTAACTGTTACTGAACTTCTAATGGGGGAGGCAACTGCCCTCTTTTGACCCTCTCGAATGGCTCACATGCTGCATGGAGTATAAAAATCATCACCCCTGATATTCATTTAAAATTTTACCTAATTTCTTCATCTGTAGGTTTTAAATTTTATTTTCATATAGGTAACTACTTTATTTACAACAAATAATCCATGTGCAATTTATAACATAGTGTGTTAACAGTTTTTTTTTTAAATTGTCATTTACTTTAATAAAAATGATTCAATTGCTGAACCGTATTGAAATTTCCATATTCTTTAATCATATTTAAATAACTTTTAGCCACAGGAAGACATTAAAATATCTGGACATGTAAATTGGGTGGGCAAATCATCATTAGAAGTGATTGTGTGGCTTGAACAGAGAGCATATGATGTCTGGAATAGAATAACAAAAGCAGTATTTGTACTTGCCGCAAGAAATTCTACCAACACAAATTCAGCTATCATAAATGCATTGGAACCAACAAATGATACAGAAAAAGCGATTATTTCCAGGGGTGCAGACAGAAAACAGAAGAGAGCAAAAATTGAAAGAAATCACGTATTAAAGTTATGCCTAATAGTGAGGAACAACAAATTATTTATGATATGTATTTACGCACAACTGCTTTGGAAGGTAGACAGACATTTGCCTCCTGGAGCAGCATGGATGAAGGATAGTATATTGACCAGTATAGTTTTTTCTCACCCAGAAGACCGCAATTTACACAGTACTGTGTTTGGAGGATTTATTATGCGTCAAGCTGTAGAACTGACATGGGTGTTAGCATACAGATTTAGTAAATATCGCCCAATTTTAAAATGTATTAGTGACATTAATTTCAAAAAGCCAGTAGTTGTTTAATAGAAATGCATGCTCATGTTGTGTATACCCACTTGAACTACATCCAAATTATAGCATATGTGGAGGTTTATGACCCTTCTGTTTCTAAGGGACATACAACAAATACATTTCATTTCACATATGAGGTACCTGAAATAGTTAAGGAAGTAATTCCAATTACATATGATGACGCAATGATGTATATAAATGGAAATAGCATTTTGCAAAAATTATGAAAGATGATAGAACATTAGAACTTTAATTAATTTATATGTATGTGAAATAATAATAAAAGTATATGTCTGTGTAATAAATTTAATTATTTTGTCTTTTCGCACAATTGTGCTTATTTTATTACTTACCTATGCTGTTAACAGGCCCTGTAGGTTGTTTTACCACATTTCATAGAAAATGAAGATTAACAGTATTGTTATAATTGAAAACATTGTGTGGTAAAAGCAGTATTTGTCATTTATAACAAAATTGTTTTGAACATTTTGCTTAGAAATCGCTAATTTTACGAAAAAATTAGAAGATACCTTATTTGTTTAAATGAATTTTTAAATGTTAAGTTAGTAATAAGAAAAAGTTTCGTATGAAATAAGTCGTGGGGGTGGCTTTTGGTACCCCTTACCGTAGGGGAAAATTAACAAATTATTTAGTGAATGCCTTCTCAATAGCACTTTTTTGGTATTTTAGGAAAATATTAAAAACTACTTTTTTGGTACACTCTTTAAGGGGTTGTATCTTCACAAGGGATTTCAAATGAGATTTTTTTTTATATGAAACACCCACCTTATTTTTTCACAGGATTTCTGGAAGCATTTGGAGGCATTTTTCAATTTGTCTCACATTCAAAATGTAATATATTTCTTTTGCATATTTATGTATGTAGGGGTTAAAAATATTAAATTTGCTTTAACTATGAAATAATTAAATGTATGTTATATGTATTTTTAGAAGAGTGGCGATTCTTATGAGATTTGTAAAGGATAGATAACACAGCCACACAAAAAAAAAGTAGTCTACTTTTCATGCGACATATGTTATCTGTAGTATTTTTATTTTTGCCTAATGAATTTCCTAACCTCAAAAAAAATATATAGCAAAAATTTACGTGTCGGGAAAAATAAAAAATAAAATTTTTAAGACCCCGTCGAGCGTGAATCCGCGATCAGAAGTGACGGTTCTTTTTCTAACCTTAAACAAACGGGTCAAATAAGGTCAGATATCACGAATTTTAAAAAAATAACATTCGCACCAAATTTGGTATACGGAGGTTAATAGATCTTTTGCAGAAAAAACACGAGTTAAAACATGATTGGGTACTCAGGTTATAAAGTAAACAACAATATCACACACTGCGGCCCCGAAAACCCACGTATACCAAATTTGACGCAAATGTGTTATTTTTTGATAATTTGGTCGGCCATCTTGGATCAGCAATCTTGAATATTGCAAAATTTACCTCGGATCCGTGATCAGCGACCCCGAAAACCCCCGTATACCAAATTTGGCGCGTTATTTTTTGAAAATTTGTTTGGCCATCTTGAATTTTGCAAAACTGACCTTGGCTCTGTGATCAACGACCCCGAACACCAAATTTGGCGAGAATCTATTTTTTTTGAAAATTCGTGATATCTGACTTTAATATACTCGTTTTTTGTGGTTAGAAAAAGAACCATCAATTCTGATCGCTGATTCACGTTCGGCGGGGTCTTAACTATATAAGTGAACATTTGAATATAGAAAAAAAATTTTGTTCTTTCTTTTCGTAAATTTTTGCCTTTTTTGACCTGTTTTTTGAGGTTAGGAAATTTCTGTAATGTGATAGCTCAATTCTGACACTGGAGACATGACCTGTTTGTATAATAATTGATGCCTAAAAAAAAACCTTCAAATGCAATCGTGAAATCTGGGAGACAGTGTTTTCGAAGAAATCAATGTTGATCCAGAAAATCGTTGTATAATTGATGTCTAGAAAAAAAGGACGGAATCAGGAAATGTGGGAAATGTTTTCGAAGAAATCACGATTTTTCCGCAACACAGAAAACCCGGTAAATGACCTGTTAACCCAGAGCCCGAAGATGTACCATCAAAACCCGTAGATCTGGCAACCCTACATATGTCGCATGAAAAGTACAGACAACTTTTTTTTGTACGACTGTAATCAATAAGTTGCAGATTAGCACGAGATTAATCTATACACCATTGAAACTTAATATGTAATTTTTGTAATAAATTGTCTGTTTATGTAAGCCAACATTGATTTTTTGTTCTTTTCCTTGAGGCTATCCATATTTACACTGATATACTATGAATTTTTCATCGTAGTTGCACAAATATCGCAAGTAAACAAAGTACGAGATAACTCGTAGTTGGCATCCTAGGCAATAGCGCAAAGTACCAGCTATCTCATACTAAACTGTAAGGTAAATAAAAAATAAACTCTGTATCTTGTCAACTACTACCTAAAACTTTATAAAGCTATCAAGTTATTTCAGGATATTGTTGTGCCAATTTTTTTTAACAAAATTTTTAATTTATCTATAGTTTATAGTTTTCGGTACCAGTTAATAGACAGGGTCAAAAAAAAATTAAAATCATAAATTTATTACGAAATTTCATTTTGAAAAGCACACACTACATATATGTATAATAAAATGTCTTAAAATCACATAATAGAAAAAAAAACACCTTTGTAATGGTTTAATGAGGTGACCATTTACCTTAAATTTACATTGTCATGGTGTACTGATTACCAAAAGAATATTTTTGTCCTAAATGACTGGGAATAGAAAATGGCCATACTCTGCAACAACTTCACTCAAATTGTCACCTTAAATTAAGAAGTATTTTTAAACCATTCTGAGCTACAGCAAGGGTAACATTATACATTATATACACTGTAATCGATAATTTAACAGTAGCAATAAAATATAAGAATTTAGTCTTAAACTCTTTATATAATAAGAAAACATTACCTGAGTTTTCATTTTTAGACTAGGATTAAAACTCTTGGACATTTGCTTAAAGCTATCAGCAGTACAATTAAAAATCAATAACATTTAAATATATTTTTTTCACAGTATCCAAGTTCATAATAGATTGTTATAACATTAATAATAATAATAATAAATAAAATTTCATATTCTACTTGTAAGTTGCATATAAAAAAGGCTGTAATAACTTAGTATCCACCCTGTAGCTTTTGTCTGTTACATTTTTATTGTAGAATATAATAGTTCTCTATAAAAAGAATGTGCTAATTCTATCGACCCTCTGCTTCAGGGTCATCATCATCCCCAATTTCTTCTTTGGGCCTTGTCCATTTGATAAGGGTTTCTGGAGATCGAAACAGGAATACTAGTTTAGCAAATAGATCTTCTTCTAAAGCAAATTCACGTGCTTCCCTTACTAAATATATATCAAGGCAAAGTTGAAGTACGCGATCCACGTTAGGCATATCTTCAAACATGATTTTAGAACACTGATCTGCAAACAGCCCTCTCAAAACTCGTGATGCTACTAGTACTAGCGTAGTGTAAAGACCGATGATCCTGAAAAGGTGAAATAATTCATTCAGCAACTGTGTACACCTCTAATACTTTTTTCACAAGTGCGGTGGTCCCATGAATGAAAAAGGATACTTTATACATGAGTTGCATACAATATGTTTTTCTACTACAGAAACATATTGGAAACAATCTATTTTTTTTAACTTTAAGTTAATTATTGACGATTCGCTTACATGCGTTTAACAGTAATATTATTTTAATAAAATTTAGTTACAAATTGTTCAGTCATAGACACATTTTTTAACAAACAAAAACAACATTAAAATTAATGTGAATCTTGTATTTGGATGGCATTCACATAATATTATAAATTACACAGAGCCTTCATAAATGTTTTCACCGAAAGTCTTTAAATCTTAGCGTTATCAACATTAATGATTCATTTACAATGACCAATGGTAAATCGTTGCGTCTATGCTTGAGATAATGTGGAACTTAGTTCTAGAGAGTCTCTTGTGCCACCTCAACTCGGAAGGCATCTATACCATCGCTTATGCAGATGACCTCACTATGCAGATGACCTCACTATGCTGATTAGCGGTAAATTCGAAGGGATCCTTTGCCAAAGAATGCAAACAGCCCTGAGAATTATTGAAAAGTGGTGTGGGGACCATGCTCTGTCAGTGAACCCCAGGAAGATGGAAATGGTCCTCTTCATGAGGAAGAGAAAATTGGGGCCAACAAAGGCGCCAACTCTCCTAAACACTACGCTAAGCTTTGCATCTGATGTGAAATACTCGATGCAAAGGTAACATGGAATCTTCACTTTGAGAGAAGATTAAAAAAGACGTACATATCCTATGAGCAGTGCCGCAGAACCGTTGGCAAAACCTGGGGCATGAAACCAAATGAGGTTATGTGGATATACACTGCCATAGTGAGACCAATGTGCCTATGGGGCTGTCGTCTGGTGGCCGAAATCCCAGCAGACGACAGCTAAACAAAAGCTCAGCCAAGTACAAAGGGTTGCCTGTCTGAGCATAACTGGAGCTATGCGTACAACACCTACCATAGCAATGGAGGTAATGCTGTGTCTGCCACCTCTGGATATTTATCTAAGAGAAATGGCTTTGACAACTATGCTTCGCCTCGAGAACGTTGGCTTAAAACCGGTTGTAGGATGTGGAGAAGTCAGAAGTCGCCTGTGGAATGAGGTCGTCAGGAAGACGCCCCTCCTGCAGGCAGACACTGACAGTATTTCTCCCCGGTTTGCATTTGACAAACCCTACACCGTACTCATTAAGAGACAGGAGGAGACCGCCCGTGGAGATGTAATTAGCATCTTCACAGACGGATCAAAAAGGAAGGAGGGTGCAGGATGTGGAATATACTCTAGATCCCTGCACATCCGATATCAGTGGGCAATGGATAGGCATGCTACCGTTGTACAAACGGAGTTAGCAGGCATAACCATAGCCGCGAAGGAAATTGCCCGCAGGCATACTACGGGCAAAACCATTAGAATCTACACGGATAGTAGACAAGCACTACTGACCTTGCGTAATCATAAGATAATGACTAGGACAGTATGGGAATGCCATGAAGCACTGGTTGTGGCCTCGGCCGCTAACAGCATATCTGTATGCTGGGTAAAGGGACACGAGCAGTGCTATGGCAATAAAGAAGCCGACAAGCTAGCCAGGAGCGCATCGGGCCTCAACATTTTTGGACCCGGCCCCTCCAGTGTGCTTCCGTTGTCGGCACTTGTTGGAATTATCAAGGAAGACACCCACAAAGAATTTATGAAACGGTGGGATGAAACAATCAGCTGTCACTTTGCTAAGGAGTTCTTAGTGTATCCTAGCAAAGACACAGCCAAAAAATACCTGGCTATGTCTAGGTCAAATCTTCGCCTGGTGACAGGTATTCAAACTGGACACTGTTGGCTAAGGAAACACCTTTACAATATGGGGAAGTGTGAAACACCTCTTTGTAGGGGCTGTGAACAGGAAGACGAGGCGGTGTTGCATTCATGTGAATGCACTGCCGTCTCGTCAACAAGAGAGTCCATGTTGGGAGAACACTGGCCTTCAATGGTCTATATTAGAGAGACCCCCCTGAGCAACGTCACCACCTTTTTCACTGTACTAGGCTGGTTGGCGGCTCAGGTGGATTGATCTCTCTAATGGGAAGATGTACAAGGGGCCCAATGGGGCCTAAGTGCTGTAGCTTTGCTACCCTCCCCACAATTCCAGATTCCAGATTGGTTGAATAGAATCTCGTAAAAAATTACACCAATCACTAACCGGTGAAACAAAATGTCCAATCTTGATTTTATTGTTTTAATTTTAGCGAAATTTAACTGCCAACGTGAAGGAAATAAAGTTACTGTTCCAAACAAAATTACTGGTCATGTGGCTTGTAATCAATTATGAAGACTGTATTTATGTTATGGAACAGGCGACTGGACATGACTTAAAACAGTATAAAAGCAATACCAGGGGACTATGGCGCCTTAGAAGGGGGCAGATGAAAATTGTTTTTTCCAGATATCTCTAAAACTGTTTGGCAATAAAGAAAATCAAGAAAAATGACAGTGCAAATCATTGTGAAGATAATCTCTTGTACTGGTGAACCAATTCTGAGATGTGAATATTTGTTGTATGTGTGATTTTGTAAATTGAAAATAAAGATCCTTGAGATAGATTGTTTCAGAGCACTGCTTGAGAATGAACCACCGAAATTGCTATTAGTTAGTAAACTTCAAATAAATCTGTAAATGTACTTACCCCCCTCCTGTGAGGAAATTTAATGTTGGTGGGAATATCTTATCATTGAATGTGTATAATATAATAGAACTGCTACAGTTTTGATAGGGTATTCCAGAGAGAAACATATTAAAATTTGTGTCATTACACACTTCATGAATTTGCCACCATTCTTGCCCTCCAGTGCGAAGCAAGTTCAAAGTCACATTTCTGTACCGTTTAGCTTTTGTATCTAAAACAGAATAAAATAAATATATAGTCATGCTAAGGTATCTTGGTTATTATTGAAAATAGAACGTTGTGGATTGCATAAATGTTGGTCTCTTTTTTTTGAGATCAAAATAGATTTTCAATGGTTATTTTTTTTGGTTTTTGAATTGTAGACAAATTACCAAAATTTTTATTTTTTCGATGACTCCTGTAGAAACTACGTTGGACTTTTCTCTGATATGTAGGCTTTTTATTATATAGAATTTTTTCATGTAGAATCCTGTGGCATAAAGTAAATATAATCGTTTTCGGAAGGCGAAGTGGGCAATAAAACGCTGGTGAGACGAAATGTATATAATTATTTGACAGGTATAAGTGGGTGGTAGATGTCGGGCCAGTCCAAATTATACTAGGAGGGACGTCTTTAGCAATGCATGTGCTCAATTATCTCTAAATGTAAATTGCCAGGGGAAATTTTCCCATAATCAATGATAGTAAAAGCTTACTGTGTTTTATATAAAAAATTAGGTAGATATGTAAGAATTGTAAAGAGAATAATAAAGGAGAATTTAATACCCATTAAACTAGTGTGGAAACTGTATACTTAGTATTACACTAATGCAAAAAATTAAAGGGTCAAAAGAATTTCCAAAATTTTTCGATGATTTTTGATAGACTGTATTTAGGTGAAAAATGCTCATATCGGGAATTAAAAAAATTTTGAAGCTCGAAGATTCTAGTTTTTAGATCTTTCGGTTGAAATTTTTTAGGTGCGACGGTTATCATATAATTCTAAGAAATAGCGCAACAAAAAAATTGAGCAATTTTCTTTTTTCTTTCCGCAGACTTCGAAAAATTTTTTTCAGTTAAGCCATTGCATAGACCAGATAGTTTGTTTATTCAGCTTCAATTTCCTTTTTTTAAATTTCGATATGACCATTTTTCATCGAAATATCGAACTTTTAATAGAAAAGGATCCTTTTGTCGTCAATCATCGATATCTCGTCGACAAATGGTCGTACAGAGAATTGAAGGACGTTTCGAAAATTCGAATAAACTCCCTATAACATGCTGCCGCAACTTTTTGTAAACATTTTTTTTTTCATCTTTTACACGAATTTTAAAAAACAGCAAAAAAAGTTTGACTGAAACAAAGAAACAGTTTACTAGGTCGAGATGAAACTTCACCGGGTTCTTCTGGGTATATCGAACTGTAAAAGTAATGTTTAACATTAGTCATTTCGTGAATATTTCTAATTTAGCCGTCAATTTTCTAAAAAACCATAAATGATCCTTTTTTTCCTGTTTTTTAAAATTCGTGTAAAAGATAAAAAAAAATCCAAAAAGTTGTGGCAGCAAGTTATAGGAAATTTATTCCAGTTTTCGAAACGTTCTTCAATTCTCTGTACGACCATTTGTCGGCGAAATATCGATGATTGAAGATAAAAGGATCCTCTTCCATTAAAAGTCCGATATTTCGATGAAAAATGGTAGTATAGAAATTTAAAAAAGAAAATTAAAGCTGAATAAACAAGCGATCTGGTCTATGCAATGGCTTAGCTGAAAAAATTTTTTCCAAGTCCGTGGAAAAAAAAAAAGAAAATTTGCAAAAATTTTTTGTTGCGCTATTTCTTAGAATTGCATGATAACCATCGCTCCTAAAAAATTTCGGCCGAAAGATCTAAAAATTAGAATATTAGAGCTTCAAAATGCTTTTTTTTAATTCTCGATACGACCTTTTTTTCACCTAAATACAGTCTGTCAAAAATCACGTAAAAATTTCGGAAATTCTTTTGACTCTTTAATTTTTTGCATTAGTTTATAAAATTACCTAATGACACAGGGTCTATAGTTAAAAAGTAACATAGAATTCCCTGATTTTTCCAGGTGTTCCCTGACTTATAAAAAAAAGTCACTTGTAGTTCATTTTTACATACTAATTGGTGTTTACGCATTAAACTTTTTCTAGACTGGACTCAATAGTCTTTTTTTAAACCGAAAGAACCTTTTATAAAGGATTCAAAAACACAAATAGTTTTCTCTTTCCAGAACACAGCGCCGGCTTACACAAAATTTCCAGTTGCAAACATCAAATTTCTTGACTTTCATGAATACTTTTAAAATTCCCTGATTATTCCCTATTTTTTATGAAGAATAATTAATTCCCCGACTTTTTCCAGTATTCCCGGTTTTCCAAGCCGCTACAAGCCCTGTAGTATACCTGGAATTTGTTAACAGATACTTTATTTAAAATAAATCGATAGGTAACTGGATTAAAATTATTGACTTCCGATAACCGTATTAAAAATAAAACTGTGTTATGCTATAGTTTTATCAGTAGAATGAAATAGTCAGCCATATTCTTATCATGAAATGATTTGCGTTGTGCCCATATTAGTTCAATGGCATTAAACTGGCAGTGGTATGATGGTAGTCGTTGAACAGAATGACCTATTTTATAAATTAATTCGTCAGTCACATACGCTATCTTTTGAGGCTTAAATTGCTGCACAATTTGTATATTTTTAGTTTGTAGTCATTATATGATTTCATTCTTGGTTGACTGGGAATTTGGATTTTTTTCCAGAAGTCTTAAATGATATTTTGCATTATCCATGATAATAATTAATAATGATTTCTGAAGTCTCGGTAATAATTGTTCTGCCATCTACTTTTCGAATAATTCCAAATTCATATCATGGTAATCCGCACTTCTGTTTTTGGTTGAAAATATAAGACCGGCACCATCAACATATCCATCTTTATTTCCAGCATGAACAATTATGTACCGTTTACCTTCTGAGCTTTTTGTTTCACACGGATTTGACATCATCGTCATGCCATATTTGCAATGTATTACTGTCATGTTGAAAAATCCATGTTTCATTAAGGAAAACTACATCTAAGGGATTAGCACATGCAGCATTATTCATGTATTCTCTAAAAAAGTTAACCCTTTTCGATGCAATCTCTGGTCGTTCCATTACAGCCCATCTAGCATTATCTTTAGAAAAACGAAAACCTAGATCTTTTAAAATTATAATTAAGGTTGTATTTGAGACATCTATAATTTGTCTATTTAGTAGTTCTTGTCGTAGGTTTTCTCTTGTTACAAATTGTTTATTTTCTATCATGGTATAAATAACTATACGTATTGCAGATTTAAATTCATCAGGCAAATCTCGTGTTTTGGAAGCTTTTCTTTTTGCAGGGACCTAATAAAAATAAAATAAAAGCATTATATTTAGCACGTTATAATAGTAACATTTTATTACTAATAGTAAGTTCTTACAGTTGTTTCACTTGGGCCTTCGTGCCGTATTCTCGAAATTGTCTTGGAGCTTAATTGTAATGCTTCAGCTGCACAATTAATAACAGAAATATTTTCATTGAAAGTCTCTTTGTTATTTTGGAAATATTCCAAAACATATAACACAAGTTTCCTACTTTGCTCGTTAAAAACTTCACGATGAGCCATTTTCAAATTTTGTTAAAATTGTATCACAAACACACCACAACAGAAGAATCAACACATTCCTACTATTCCAAGTTCGGTTCTGTTCAACCGTCTGTTTTTGACAAGAAATACATCTTATTGGCCATCCTTCTCTAGTGCACGTAATTTCTCCGTAATGTTAGTCGTACCTTATTAAGGGGCGTACGTGAGCATGACTTAGGTATATTACAATTAAGTGGAAAGGGCTCAGAGGTATATGTCGGGTTTCACCAACGTTTTATTGACTACTTCGCCTTCCGAAAACAACTATATTTATCAACTTTTAATCATTTCAAGATAAATCAGCAACATTTTTTTATATGGAAACCTTAGTTGACTATGACCCAATTCCAGAAATATACTAAAAGGTTCCGGAGCTCTGTACGATGATGATGATTTGTCGCAGAGTTACCGTCGATCAAAGCAAAAAAATAATTTTTAACTTTGGCGATCAATTACTCTGGAAATAATGGTAGTACAGAAAATTTAAGCAGGGTTTTGAAAAGTGCAAAGTATTCTCTACAAGACGTAATTATTGGTTTTTGATAAAACAATTTTTTTCGAAGTTGGTTAGAAAAAAGGTAAAAAATTGCATAATTAGGGATATTTGAATAACTTGACATAACTTTGCAAATAATGAATAAACTAGGGATATTGACTGTAACTTTTCAACTTCAAAGTGTCATAAAGAAACCCTGATAATTACAAAACGCTGCTATTTTTTTTATTAGTGCTCGGAATGTTTAAATTTGTCGTTTTTCCTGAAAATCAATGTTACAAGTAAATATTAACTTTTTATTAATTTTTTAAAGTTAAAGTTAAACATGTTTTTTTAGCAATAATCGATATTTTCTTTATCAAAAAAACGTCCATTATTCTAAAAACAATTAAAAAAAATTTTTTTCAAAAATTATATTTTAAAAAATTTTTTTTAACGTATCCACAAGCTTCACAAACATCAAAAAAAATTTGGTTGCTTTGATGTTCCAGATCACAATTTAATATTGCGTATTGCCGTCTCGCTGTTCCTGATCACCGATCCTAAGCGATCTCACATATTAATGCACCGCGGGATATCTCGTTGCGTAATTCTTTGCCAAGTTTGTAAAAGAGTCTGGGTCAATTGATGGTCATTTTGTAATTTAATTGCGGATAGTCTTGTCGTCATCGACGCACGAGCATGTCCTAAACATGGCCAATGAAGTTCAAGTCCGGACTCATAGGTGGGTGGTTGAAAGTTATCACATTGTTGGCGTAAAGAACATTTCTTGTACATTTTTTGGTATGAAGTTGAGCATTATCCTGCATGAGAATGAAAGGATTCCTCATGCTTGTACGCATGGTTCAAGGATTTCGGTGATGTACCTTTCGGCAGTCAATGTTCCTGAAATGATTACCAAGAATGTTCTAGTACTAATGGATACACTTGCCCATACCATAACGGAATCGCCATGGCAACGACAGACGATGTCTCATTTGGCGTCGTAGTGGGGAACGTGATACCAATAATTTTACGCGGCCAGTTACGGTTTTTAATGACGGTTCAGTTATGGTATGGGCAGGCAAGGCATATCCATATATTAATTAATGTATTAATATCAGAACTCAGTTGGTAATCATTCCCATCATTGACTGCTGAACGGTACATCACCGAAATCCTTGAACCACATATCATTCCAGCATGAGGCATCATTTCATTCTCATGCAGGATAATGCAGAAAACTTTGCAATTTTCAAAACCCTTCTTGGAATTTCTGTACGATCATTATTTCCCGAGTAATTGATTGCCAAAGTCAAAAATAATTTTTTAGCTTTGATCAACGATAACTCAGCGGCAAATTATCGTATAGGGCTCCGGAACCGCTCAAATTGAAGAGAATTAAAATATCTAAACGAGCTTTATGGTGAAATTTCCAAAAAAAAATTTGAGATGTGCCCATTTAAACAAAATTGAAGGTCACTGTAAAGAAAAATAATGGAATGCTAAACAATTTTGAATGAGCAAGTGTAAAAAAAAAATGTAGAAAGAATACTGTCAAAAATGTACAGTTCAATTATTATCGGCACCTCGTGAATTACACCGTTCACAGAAAATTGAAAAACATGTATGTTTATACATACACAAAAACGTTTTAGTCAAAATTTCCAGTTTTTGTTTAATGGATTAAATATTTCTTGTTTTGTATTTTTCGAAGATGCAAAAAATTTAACAATGTGCAATAATAATACACCTATAACAAAACATGCCTTATTTGGGACAAAAAACAAATACAAATAATATAATATAGGTACAAAAAGATTATAAAAGCACATGAAAACAAAGTCCTAAAAAAACTAAAAAAACAAATAAAATTATTTGTGGTAATATTCCGGAAACAAATAAGCATTTTTTGTTTGTTTTTTAGTCATGTAATAAAGTAATTAAAATACATTTTTTAAATTTATAATTGAAATACGAGTATTACTCAGTGGAGATATGAGAGTTGTAACCTGTTTACCCTGCAAATTTGATGCCAAATCTTATGTTGAATTCAGATTTTTAAACAAAATATGACCTTTTTGTTTATTACTAAGTATATTAACATTTAGTCTTTCGGAACAAGAATGTCAGATAAAAAAGATTACAAGTGAATTTCAGTTTCTAAACAAACCACATATAAAATGACGGAAAGGGTGTAAACGTCTCATCGCATGGTTTCCAGATTTGATCCTACTGGATGTTTTTATTCTAATATTTATTCTAATGACTTATTCTTTTTACCTAATATTTCTGTTCTGAAGTTTATCCCAATGGTATCCTTTTTTTATAGTTTGTTAATTAAAACACGAATAGAATGAAAAATTAAATTAAATTTTCTATAAAATTAATATATTTTCCTACCTGGTTTGTCAAGCATAAAAAGATCAACTGGTGCTGCAGTACCTCTATTTGTTACTTTTAAAAACTTTGGCAGAATGTACTCGAACAATGTTTCTGATGTAACTTCTTGCCCTTCTAACATCTTCAATAAATTATTACGAACTTCACTGGGTATTCCATTTATACTGGCAGGAATAATAATTTCTACATTGTCTGGTATTACTCCCGAATCTTCTGGATTACTTGTTCTATGAGACACTTTATACTCTAGTCTAACCTTTAACTCGCTTGCTAAAATTAAAAATACAGTTTTAAAGTGACGTGATTATACAGTCAACAGCAGTGACTGAGGACACCATGCATCAATCACATCGAAGCTTTTGCAGAGCTACCATGGAAGCCACCACTAATAATGGCCTTAGAACCAACAATAAAAACTGAAATCAATCAAGACAGGCCCAGGGGTTCTGATAGCGAGTGTACCCCGGCAGAGCCTAATCCGAGGACAAAGAACATTTGTATCGGGCGACGACTGGGTGTACAGGGTGATTCAGTCATACTGTCATTAATTTTAACCACATATTCGCAAGACCTAATAAAGACAGAAAGACAAAAAAAATTACTTGACCTTTCAAAAGATAGGCAAATTACCCCTTAACTCCCAGTAATTCGCCATTCTATTTCTCAACGCATTTTATGACAACGAACACACAGGCGGGCTAGAGAGTGGAGCCTATTAGAATGTTGAATGAAACAGCTGTAGTACGTGAATTTTGCAATTGATTTCAAAATCAAAGTGCACCAGATTCCAATTTTATTAAGTGAATGAGGGTTTTTTCAGAAGTACTAACATATTAAATAGGTATGTACCACTACTCTTTGAAAAGCAATGTCACTTTTATAATGGAATACGAGTTTTTAATATTTTTAATTATGCCTGTACAACAAACTGAAAGATTAATACTAAAAATTCGTATTCAATTATAAATCAGTGAAAAAAATTAACAATATTAAAGTTAGAAACAGTACGGTCGGTCAAGATTCACTCTCGATGTAGGTCAGCGGTCAAGAGCGGTCCGAAAAGGGGTTCAAATAATGATTTGAAAATATTCTGTTTCAGCATAAATATACATTTTAAAATTTTTTTATTCGCGTATTCGTGTTGTACTCATTTTTCCATTAAAATTAATGATGTTATGACTGTATAGGTCACGACATAACAACCCAAAAAATCATGGTATAGTATAAATTCAATTTTTTCAATTTAGTGGGACAAATGGTGATCTGGATAATCCAAAGTCAATAACAGAATGATATAATTATGTATTTCATGTATGGATTTTTTTTATTTAAGACTTTTTCATTATGTTGTTCAAAGATACAAAAACACAATTTAAAATACTAGAACTATGAATTAATTTTGAGGAATTTTTTTGTAGATTCAAGGCTTTATTGTAAAAAATTGTGTACATTATTATTTTTCAAAATATATTGTGCATCGTTAGCCATTACTTTTTCCCATTTTTTCTGGCAGCATACCGATTGCGTTGAAAGAACAACTTATCTCTTGACACTATCGTATCTTCGCAAGACTGGAAGCACTGCTTAGTGCTTAGCAAGACCGGAATAAGTAGTAATCCGATATCTGGTGAATATGGCTGGTGGGGCAAATCATCCCATTTCAGTGTTTCTAAGTATTTTTGACTTCATGAGCAACATATGGTCGAGCGTTGTCATGTTGAAAAATTACTTTATTGTACCTTTGCTCTAAGTGCAGCTATTTTTCCTTGAATTTGGCTGAAGCAGCACATAGTACACAACATTGCTGTGCAGACTCCTAAAATGTCGATTCGATGATTACCAATCCAGATTGAAACAATATCGATATATTGGTACACTTGAAAATTTCACTATAGAAATAATGTCAAAAATCCGTCCATTCGAATCAATGTTATATTGAGGAGTCTTGGCTAGCCAAAATGATTTGCTATCTTCTTCTATCACATGTATTGACTAATGCTGTTTCTTTTCAACATTACAAATATGTTGCGGCTGGGTTTTGTTTGTTTTTACGTCTTTAACCTAACATAGTGTGAAGTGTCAAATATGTACTTGTGTACAATATAATACAACTTACTAGTTGAACATTTTTTTAAATGATACCTTTTCTGTTAACATTATCAAATAACAATAATAAGTAGCACTTATTTCATGACTAGCTCATCACTAGTTTTCATTCTACTGCCTATTTACTACTTTCTGATTGGTCGGTACATTTGACAACATTGTTCCTTGTTCTTCACTTTCATGGCTCGATCCCCTTGTGTCGAGAATACAGTATGAATTTTGTGATAGAACAGTAGTACAGCGAAATGAGGGAATGTTCCCCAAGGAGCATTCTATTCTCTCACCGTCAAGAATCGAGCTCCTGAATACCATGTTAGACAGAAATAAAAAATATCGATCAGTTGGCTAAACTGCATATTTATTATTTCTTAACGTAGTGGTATATCACATTACCCCAAATTTGTCGAATTTATCCGAGGACTATATCTATGTGTTCAAAAGTACAAATTTAGATTTCGAGCCACAGGGATCAAGATTTCAGGAGTCCCGCCACTGGTCATACCAAATAAATGAGCTTTGAATCATGAATATTCGGCCTTGCCGTCGATGTTGATGCGAGTTTCTACACTTACGATTATCGTGGTGTATTTTTTTTCATCACCAGAGACAATACAACGCAAAAAACTTTTCCTTTTTTGTAGTTGAAGCAATTGTCACACGTGAAAAATCACCCTCAACATTGTAACTAACCTTTATTAATTTATCCGTTTAGTACCCGATGAACTATTATCTTTTCCTATGTTAGTAATGTAAGCATTGAACTCTGTATTTATTGTGGGTCCGCGTACTAACATCCGACGAACCGTTAATCTACGTCACAAACCGGCTATAAAAGGCCGACCTCCGGCACATGAGAGGCAGTAGTGTTGATCGGCAATATCCTCAACACGAAGTAAGTCCGCCTTCCCCCTTGGTATCGGTAACATTCCTACCAAGGTACCTTTCTCACTATCCGTCCATCTGAGAGCAGAGCGTCGGCCATTTCCCGCCTGTTCTCGGTACTTCCCTATCTCGCTGTCCAGGAACAGAGCGTCGGCCATTTTTCCGCCTGTTCTTGAAATCCGGTTTTCCCTGAAACTCCGAGGGTTGGTCCCCGTCCCTCTCGGAGTTCCTTACCCGTCGTTTTCTCGAACAACCGCCAACCTGAGTCGAACACCGAAGTGAGGGAAAAGTAGTTTTCCATTTTCCAAAGGTTCACCGGATGATAGTACCGACCACCACCGATTTGTCAGTGGTGAATTTATTTATTTATTTGTTTGCTTTAAATAAATGGGAGTACATCTATTGGGAAAAGTGGTTTCTTTCTAATCAAGACCCCTGGTGTATCTTTTCTCCACTGTTGTTACCCGGACGGCGACTTTTTGTGAGACATCCGGGTCTCACACTGAAAGTTCGTCACAACATTTCTCCGCTTCAATTCATATGATCAATTTCCTTGGTTTTGAATCATATTTAAACGTTTGGAAACTGTTGTGTGATCAACATTCAACGATTCAGCAAGTTTATCTTCCCTTTGACATGAATCTAGGTTGAACCGAATTAAACAGGAAAAATAAAACTTCCTGCAAATGGTGTTTTCTTGGCTCGTAATTCAACACCTTCGGAAGTGAGAAAAAAAATGTTATTTACACTTCAGCAAAATGACATTAAAAAGTGTAGCCTAATGGCAGAGCTTTGACATGAATATAGTTACAGAAGTATCTGAGGTGGTACAGTATAAGTTATGCCATCTATTATAAATTCCTCAAAATCAATTCCCAGCCCTAGTAAATATTCTTTGTTTCATGTAAAATTTAAAGAAAATATGTAAAGTAATATATCTAATTTAGGTATTAATAGCCTACGAGCAATCAAGTCATCAATCGTATAGTGATAGTGTATACAGTGTTTCAGTTCGAGTGAATCGATGAATCGAATCTTCANTAGTAAATATTCTTTGTTTCATGTAAAATTTAAAGAAAATATGTAAATATATCTAATTTAGGTACTAATAGCCTACGAGCAATCAAGTCATCAATCGTATAGTGATAGTGTATACAGTGTTTCAGTTCGAGTGAATCGATGAATCGAATCTTCACTGTACAGGGCTGTATTGGTCGGTTTTTAGTCATATTAATGAAATCTTTGGTATGCTTATAATAGTCTAAGAGACCGTGATCGCCAGACCTTCCTCATAATATAAAAGCTGGAAGTTTCTCTGTGCATGTCCCTAACAGAGATAAGAACGGTCTGCGACTATGGAGTTTGGATCATTATAGCTTTGGCAGGTAACAGGTAGTAAATACAGTGTAGGAAAGTACTGATGGTCTATCAGAAGTTACGTGAGAGCGATAAAGTAAGCCATAGAAATCCATGTGATAGACAAGGATGGCTATAATGAAGGNGCAAGTAATTTTAGGTGGGGTCCGGATACTTTTGAAAATTTTTAACGAGGTCCAGAAAAAAATTCATATTTCTTATTTTTTTATTTTAATTTGGACTCAAATTTAATCTGCTTACTAATTAAGAATTCAAAACACTCACACAATTGTAAAATACTAGAAAAAATGATAAGATTGGCACTTAAACGTAAAAAACATTTTTTAAATAATTTATTTGAATAATTTACACTTTCAAAACATTTTTGGCAGTCCAGTATTTTTCCTTCCGCGGTCCGGACCTGGACCGCGGTCCGCCAGTTGCCGGCCCTTGTTCTAGATGGTGCTGTAAAAGTGGTATTCATTTTAATCAAATTTTCTTCAAAGATTTTCTCCAATGAATCAGTATATAATTCATGTAAATAGACACATAACAGCCCCCTTTCTTGATTACATCCTCCACTCTGATGGTACTGAATTCATTAAAAACTATTTGGTGGTACTCTCGATGATGATGCCAATCACTTTTACTGGATGTTTTATTATTAAAATTTACTTTACATTCAGTATGATATATTTTTGGTCCGGAAAAATTTTCCAATTTATTTAACAACTCGTTATACTTTTCTTGACCTTCTATGTTAGGTACTATACAAGATTTAAATTGGTATATGTCAGCTTCATGAAGTGGAAGCATTTTTGATCCTAATTGTTTCTTTTTTCTATTACAGAATAAACAAACAATTTTATATACATATCAAGAGCATTGCTTTCGGTCAGAATATTTACTTCCGAAGTTGAATCATTATTTTCATTAACTTCTAGTTCAGGAATGTCAACATTTACTTGAGAAGTTGTAGGTTGTGGTTCTATTGACTGAGGAATTAAAGTTGGTTGCGAAATTCGTAAAAAATCTATATATTATAAAAACTCTGAACGGAGTTTGCAATTTTATACACATTTGCTAATTGTTACCTGCTAAAGCCACAATGATACACACTACATAGTCACAGATTATTCCTACCTCTGTTGGGGACATGCGCAGAGACACTTTTATATTATGAGGAAGGTCTGGCGATCACGGGCTCTTGCTCTATAATAAATTGACCCAAATTTGGTGTAGTGTTAACATTTACACATGTGCATAATTTATTGTAAAATTTGTAAAATTTTCAAATTTTTGTAGGTCGGTGGCATAGGAATGGGTAGTAAAGCAGGATTTTTTTACCCCAACTTTTACGCCAATGTCCTAATAATCATTTGAGATTCATTTTTAGATTCCGTGAACAATTCTACATAAAAAATGTATACTTATTGAAAATCAGTAGTGTATCGTTTTACGGAAAATCTCAATTGAATGAAAAACCGTTCTTCGGATCTAAGAAATTTAGTTACTTAAGGATAAGAAATAAATTTTAAATTAATATTATAATGTCAGGTGTTAACTTAGAATTAAAAATAATATTATGTCTATGGGGGTGCAATTGAATATGCGCAACAAAAAAATGAGTTCATAGAGGGAAGTCACCATCGGAATTCATCACATTAGGATTGCAATAAATAAAACATAAGGGATTATATTTAGAATTTACCAGTAGTCTCGCCAATGTAGAGACATATTACTTAATATTGTTTTGAATAATAAGTTAATATGTGACGTAATAATATTAATTTAAAAATTATTTCCTATCCTTAACACGTTGACTGCGGTACATACCTCGGGGGGTATNCATTATAGCCATCCTTCTCTATCGCATGGATTTCTATGGCTTACTTTATCGCTCTCACGTAACTTCTGATAGACCATCGGTACTTTCCTACACTGTATGTATTGCTACCCAAAATCGTCAAAACATTTAAAATGGTACTGATTATTATTCAAAACCCCCAATATATTTAATTTCAGTGTACAATTACGAGTTTGTAGGAGGTACATTTTCCATATCATCAACCCTTGATTGCAGATCACTCGTCATTTTTGGTTGGCTACAAAAGTTCTTCTTTTTCTTTTCTGTGGTGAATTTTCTTCTTTATTTGGAACCGGTGCTTCAGATATTTAAGATTTTTCGGTAGTATTTGACTCGCTGTTTTGGTAAATAATTCCTACCGTGTCGTGTAGAGTATCCTTTCCACTCGTACTTTCCACAAAACAGTCAAAATTATCGTATGTCACATCAACAAAAAGTTTTCTGGGCATAAACTAGACTTTTCTGTTTCTAGTTCTTCAATGCCTTGATAACTTATACAGTGTCCATATATATCTATTAATAACGTCAATAATTTTTCTACTGCTTGTTAAGCTCTTTAAAGTCATACCCAATATAATGTGCTTTGAAGTCTTGACCATTTTGTCCTCCATTAATTATATCTTGACAATAAGAATGAACTTCACAAACACATTTTAAGCTATTTTTCCGTTTTTGATTACATCCACTAAGAAGAGTAAAGTCCTCCTGATATTAAATGCTGTTCTGAAATGCGCATGCTCGGGAAGAATAACCTCATACGCAGGTGAGATCTTGTTGATATATCATCGCTGTCNTTAACACGTTGACTGCGGTACATACCTCGGGGGGTATGTACTCATTATAAAAAATATGCGAATCTCAATAATCACATTTTTACTGTATCTTGTGGAAGTTGCAGAATCTGTAGTTTTTAGAAATAATGATTTTTCTATTATTTTCTTTTCAAAACTCTTTGCGAATGAAAACGTTAGTATCCTAGGATATATAGTTACAGATACATGCAAGTTTATAGCAATAATTGTGTTATTTTTAATTTTATAGGGTCAAATGTAAAAAAAATTACATATCCCCAGGGATATGTACCGCACACAGAAGTTTTGTTACATATCCCTGAAGATATGTATCGCAGTCAAGGACAAAGTACATTGAGATTATCTTGCAGTCAACGTGTTAAGAAACTAAATTTCTTAGATCAGAAGGACGGTCTTCCATTCAACTGAGATTTTCGGTAAAACGATACACTATACCAATTTTTAACAAGTGTACCTTTTTTATGTAGAATAGACTCTTTTAGTGTAACGTCACATATTTAGGCAACCCGCAACAAATTATGATAATTGAAATTGTACAGACCGAATCTGACCCTTGTGTACTATTTACATACAATTTCAAATTAACTTGTTTTTACAAGGATTTAGAAATATTTAAGAACAACCAACACGTGTTTCGTACAATAGATACACTACTGTGCTTAAAACTTACAAAAAACTATATAAAATAATATTCTTAAATTTAAATAAAGTAAAAATTTAACATTAGCCGTGTTATTCCTAACGCGCATGCTCGGGAAGAATAACCTCATACGCAGGTGAGATCTTGTTGATATATCATCGCTGTCATCATTAGTGTATTTTCTCTTCTTCTGTTTAATCTTGGCATTTTCTAGTTCTACCAAGTATTTGTTTATTGCTTTTCTTGGTGTTTTTTGTTCTAGTGGTTTATTATAGACATACTCTTAACCAGAACTAAACTTTTCTTGAATGGTATCCTGTTGCGAGGCTACTTCGCTTACTTGAAATTATCTTTAATGTGCATCCTCAGTAACATTGATATAATTTTAATTTATTAATTACTCTAAAAGTCAATATTGTTTTATAAATTTAGAATAGAATAGAAACTTTATTGACACTGTCATATACAAAAACTGTACATTTTTTGTCACAACTATTACACTAAAAGGGGACATTAATATTAAACAGTAATGAAAGAAATAAAATCATCAAGACTATAAAAACATTGCTCTAATAAAAATTTTTTAATGAACTTGTGGAAACTTCTCCGAGACATCGTCCTAAATTTCAAATTTTTAAAATGATTACTTAATCTATTATAAAGCTGAATCTGGATCTTGTTTCTCTTAGTATTAATTCTAGAAAAGGGTTCCACAAGATTTAGTGCCTGTCTAGTATTGTGATCGTGAATGGATGAGTGAGTGGCCAGATTATTATAAATTTAAAAATATAAATTCTATAATTCTATTAGTTTGTCACTTGGGGTTTGAAACTTTTTAAATATTTCTAATATTGCCAGAATATCGGGATATTTAAGGTCATGACAAAAAAGACAATTTTTGGCACACGTCCAAAGTACATAAGGTTGAAAATCGATCTACTGAGAAATTCTTCATGACAATATGTACTATAGGGTTGCATTTGGTGTATGTGACGTCACTACTAATAATGTCTATTGTTCATGGAATTTAAAAATGAATCCCAAATGATTATTAGGACATTGGCCTAGAAGTTGGGGTAAAAAAATCCCGCTTTACTACACATTCCTATGCCACTGACCTACATTTGTAAATTTTACAGTAAATTATGCACATGTGCAAATGTTAACACTACACCAAATTTGACTCAATTTGCTATAACCATACTATAGATTTCATAAATATGATTTAAAAAACCGACCCTGTACAGCGAAAAATTGTGAGACTTAGACCCTTGCTTTATAAAACAATAATTCTGAATTGTTTATTGTGTTCTATTTGTGGTTAAAGTTTGATTCACTAGAACTGAAACACCCTGTATAACTATAGTTTTATACTGAATAACAAATCAATATACATAATTCTGCTGAGACACAGTAGATGTAATAAAAGTTGATTGTATTTCTGTAAAATCATCAGCCAAGTCAATTGTCTGTGCTACATGCAAATAACTCGGTGGATTACAAAATGTGTAGGCTTTGTCGCACATGAAGGATGTTGTAATCAATTCATTCCCCCGCGACCATGTTCTTATAAATGGCCAAACCTGGATAATAGAGAGATGAGATCCAACTCATCAAGGCTTAGATAATCTAGTTTATACAGTACTTTGAATTGTCTAATTGATTTCAAGTTTGGTATTTGGTAAATAAAAGGACCCTTGATTCTAAGAAAATAGCTGCAATGTTACTAGGTTGACACTTTTTCAGATCTAATAGAAAACTTTAAAATGTTGAAATAAATGTTTGTTACGAGTTTAACACATGTCTTAAATCTGTAAGAAAATAACATACAGGGTATTATAATGTATGCCTCCAATTATCTAAATTGCACTATTCAATACAAAAATCGTTTTTAAGATTTTTGTTGCTTGTGAAGTCTTGATTGCTAAGGATTTCGAGTAAAAATATAAAAATCTTCAGCATTAAATGTGCTGAAATACAAAATGTTCGATTTATTTGAACAGGTGAAATACTAAAAAAAAAAAAATATTAAAACACATTTTCTACAGGCATAGTATGCTAAGTAGAATTTTAACTTTTCTTATTCACTCTGTCTTAATTTTATGTTCAAATATGGAAACAAAATTCTCACACTTTGTATTTCAAGCTTCAATTTGGCAATAAAGCTATGTGGTATTCTAATAATTTCTAATGTTAACTATATAAATAGTGGCATGTAGATATTTTGCAAGCAGATATCAAATTTTTTGATAACTTACTAGAATTTATTTCTGCTACCATTCTTTTTCGATCAGGTGGAGATATGCTCCAAATATTTGCCGAATCAACACTTAATTTTACTGCAGCAATATCAGCAGCTTCATAATTTGATAAAAATGTTTGAGATGCTTTGTAATCACTATACTGTCCCATAAATTTAATCAAATCTCCTTCTTTGAATCTGTAAATAAGTAGCTAATATTAATATATTATTAATTTTTTTACTTACTTTCTAAACATAATTAAAAACAGTTGTATTTTATAGACTGATCAAAATAACTCATTTAGAGGGAAAAAAAAGAAAATTGTTACCTGGACTTTTATAAGTGGAAATGGTAAAGGGGCTTAGGATAAACGAAAAAAAAATAAATGCGTGAGCAGGGGCGGCGGAGGGTTGATTTGGGGGGTTGAAAAGTTATGAAAAATTGTATCATTGGGATTTCTGGCGAAAGTTGACGTCAAACAAAAAAGTATCCAATACAAAAGTTGTAGATCATGCAAAAATCTACAACTTTTGTAGAGGTCACTTTTTAACATAACCTCAAAATTTCCGAGAAAAATGCGAAAAACAGGTTTTTTTCTGATTTTTCGTTTTTTATTTCTCATTTCCGCAAAAATAATTTAATTTTGACGAAACTTGGTGAAAGTATACCTTTCTCTGTCTTAAATAACCTCAAATTTTTTTAGATAAAAAAATCAAGAAGTTTCTGAGATATTCATTTTTTTCGGCCTGAAACACTTTTTTTTCAAAGAAAAATTCTACTTAAAAAAATCATCGTACAGAGTTCTGCCGGTAATCATTTTTTTCGTTTTGACATATACTTTTTGGTGAAATAAAAAAATTTGTAATCACAGTTCAAAAACATGCTCAAAAATGCAAAAAAGTAAAAAATGACTTGCAGCAATGAATTTTTCAGTAATTGTTGATAATTTGTTTAAATTTAAAAAAAATCAAAAACTGATTACACCATTCAATTGTACGGAAAAAATACAAAAAAAACTGTCTCATTGTTTGACCCAAAACTATTTTTGTACAGTATTGCTATAAACATAAGTCGAATAGTGAATAAATAAAATAAATAATAATTTTTTTTCCGTAGGATCGATTAGTGTACTTATTTTTTTTAAAGTTTGATGAATTCATAGATATACAGTGTGTCCAAGATAAGGATGGGATAGCATTAGGATCTAGGAAACGGTAAGAGATACGGGGTGGCTCAGATTAGAAAAAAGTTGTGTTTTTTTATACCTAACAATATGCTGTTTAGAAAGTTTTAAAATTCCGGGTAGTTCCGGAGATATCCGGAAAAACCCGAAATTTTGCAAAATTGTTTAATTTTTTCTGGCTTTATTTGAAAACGAATTTTAAAATAAATTACATATTTACAATGCCACTTTTTTCGCTCTATACAATGGCGTCAACATTTTTGCAATCCGACGTTTCGTCTTCGAGGGGCCATCATCGGGTTAATTTTTTTAAATACGTCGCTGCTATTTTTATGACAAAATCTAGTCATTTTTAATTCTGAATTAGAGGATATTACTATTGTAATCGCTTAAAAAGTTTTTAGCTTGTTTTAGCTATAATTTAAAATTTTTCCTGAGTACGGCTCTGAACGCTTTCAAAATATCTATTGGATGAAGTCATAACAGTATAAAAGTCAATACCGCACAAAATATCCAACAATTTTTTACTACTGTTAGCAATACTAATTAGAAATAATAAAATATTTCATAAATTCGTATTATTTTTTTATTATGTACAACTTTTTAAATTATGGATTAAAAAAATTGTTGGATATTTTATGCTGTATTGACTTTTATTCTCTCCTTTCTCTCTCTCTCTCTCTCTCCCTCTCTCTCCTCCAATAGAATAGACAGGTAAGTATTTTGAAAGCGTTCAGAGCCGTACTCAGGAAAAATTTTTAATTATAGCTAAAAACCTGTTTAATTACAATAGTAATATCATTTAATGCAGAATTAAAAATGACTAGATTTTGTCATAAAAATAGCAGCGATATATTTAAAAAAATTAATCTGATGATGGCCCGTCGAAGACAAAACGTGGGATTGCAAAAATGTTGACGCCATTGGATAGAGCAAAAAAAGTGGCAATGTAAATAATATGCAATTTATTTAAAATTCGTTTTCAAATAAAGCCAGAAAAAAAATTAAACGATTTTGCAAAATTTCGGGTTTTCGGATTTCGCGTCAGCAGTAGACTTTGCAGTTAATACTTTATATTGCTAAAATCTCAAATCATCCTGAGATAATTTATCATTTGTGCATTTGTAATTCGACTTAGATATTTATAGCAATACTATACAAAAATAAAGTTTTGGGTCAAACAATGAGACAGTTTTTTTTTTATTTTTTCCCGTAGAATTGAATGGTGTAATCAGTTTTTGAACGTTTTTTAATTTAAACAAATTATCAACAATAACTGAAAAATTCATTGTTGCGTCATTTTTTATTTTTTTGCATTTTTGAGCATGTTTTTGAAATGTTATTACAGATTTTTTTATTTCACCAAAAAGTATATGTCAAGACGAAAAAAATGATTACCAGCAGAACTCTGTACGATGATTTTTTTACATTGCGGAGTAGCGCTGGATCAGATTGACTTGCCCTTTTTCAATCCAGAAGTTCATGATGCTCAGAATTGGATAAAACAAGTGGAGGAAATTAAATTAGAATTCATGTGGTCTGATCTGCAGGTATTGGTAAGAGTTGGCCGATTCATAATTAATGAAGCGAAGATTTGGTTTAATAGTTTGACTCCAACTGTGCGTAATTAGAATAATTTTAAAATCGATTTCTCGGAGGTATTTCCTCCAAAGAAAATCTTAGGACGTTTGCTGTATGAAGCGTCCGTGTGTAACAGTAGCTCTTTTAATGCTTATACCACTTATGCTCACTTTTAAAAAATTTGCGTTCAAATTGGAGTACATCAGACTTAAATGAATTGATTATATATGGAATTAAAGAACACAAAATCCAAGAATCAATTTCGATGCGTAATTTCGATTCTATTGCAGACTTGCTTTCCAATTTAGGCACTTTAAGTAAACAAACTCTAGATTATGGGGTAATGATGAAATATGATACTGAAACACTGAGTGTGAAGCGACCTAGATTAGAACGGTTGGCAGGGATGAATAAGCTGAATTGTTTTTGTTGTGGTTGCATGGGTCACGTCCAGCGGTATAGTCCATTAAATAAATCGTCAAAACAGTTTCCATCGCAAACCGCGATTAAGAATTGAGTAATAAATTTCACTACTTATTCAGATAACTCTATGCACTTCACGCTTTTACGGTACGAAAAGACTATAGTGTTGACAAATGTTATAATAAATAAATAGTGATGTGAGTGAAAATATATAACAAATTGATATATATCAGTTTTTGATACATATCAGCTATTATATATATGTTAATAGCTGATATATATCAATTTTCCCGCCATTTCATCAACAAAGCCAAATTTCAAACATAACCTTACATTTTAAAACTAAAAACTTGTGGTGTGGTAGGCTTGAGTTGGACTGTAGTAGCTCTTGGGTACCTGGAATATCTCCGTCAAAAATGAATATAAAAATCTGAAATTTTAGGGGTGTACTATAGATGGGAAGAACTAAGAGCGCACGTAATTTCAAGTCACCCCTTCCACCCTAGGGGGTGACG